ACATTATATTTTTTTTTTGTTTTTTTTTGTTAGTTGGGATTAATTGTTAAAGGGACTGAATTTATAGATAGCTTTTCTAGTTAAACTGAACATTCAAAGCACTTTACACCATATCCAATCGCACAAAAACATGAAGTCATCCAGTGAAACACAGATCATTACTCAATTTGGAGATATTCTTAGCTATCTTGAATATTTTAATATTTATAATAAATATATAGAATATATAAAATAGTGTACTAACTTTTGATCTACAGGATATTTTTAGGTTTATTTTTGCCACTTTGTTAATAGAAAAAGAGAAGAGCATCCACAGACAGCAATTAATAGGCCTTGAAATAAAATTATAAATATAAAATTATTGTTCACAGCCAATATTGCTTGAAGCAAAACGTGTGTCCTTATAGAAACAAGAGGTGTCTTATACTAAAATCATGTTGCAGTACAAATGGCACTTAGGATGAATGCTGGTAACAAGATAGCATCATAAATGCAACATTAACAGACGATAAAGTGAGTTTTTTTCAAAGTAATTTCAAATAGTTTTTAATTTTTGTGCATGCTAATAAATGCAATTAACTAGTTTTAGGGTATAAATGCACAAAAAGGTTTTAAAAGAAATATATAATTTTTTTTATGGAGTTCATACATTAAACCTTTGACACCTTAAAACAGTTTTTTTGGTTCATTGTGTAATTGCTTAAAAGTTGTTAAAAGAGTTTCATGCTTCTTTTACTTATACCAAACAGTTTTAGGTGGTATAATAAGCCCCTTAACCTTTTTGTTATGCATTTTTGCCAATGAGAATGTTGATAAATGAATCCTTAGGTTGTGAGTTCGATCCCCACACTCCCACATACTGCCACTCTGGCTCCCTGAGCAAGACCTTAACCCCACACTGCTCCCTGGGCGCCGCACAATGGCAGCCCACTGCTCCCCAAGGGGATGGGTTAAATGCAGATGACTAATTTCCCTCTTGTATTATTAAAGTATATTAAAAAAATTATAATTAAAAAAATAAATAAGTAAATAAAGCCCTGGTCAGTTTGTATAAAGCCTTTTTTGTCAAGGGTACCATCTTCCAGTCACACAATAATCCCATCCTTCCAGTAAATGGCATTTTCTCATTGAAGGATAAGAAAATTAATTTGTACTAGGGCCGCAACTAACCATTATTTTGCATATTAAGAAGTCACTTTTTTTTTATTATTATTAACCAATTAATAATCTATAAAGGTTCCTTAGAGAAGATTTTTTTATTAATTTAAACCAGGTGAGAAAAGAACTTTTCCAGGTGTGGAGTTCTAGATAGAGCATATTGACAGATGGAAAAGTTGTTCCCACTGCCACTAAAAGCCGATTGTTCCCGAGTTTAAACAGGTTTTGTGGACAGTTAAAAAAGGGTAATAGCTTGCATACTTAACCATTTTTTTCTCACCTCACCTNAGTTAAAAAAGGGTAATAGCTTGCATACTTAACCATTTTTTTCTCACCTCACCTGTACAGTAGTTTCCATCGTTGTCTGAGTTAAGCTGAAGGCCAGTCGCTTCTAAGTATCCACAAATTCCATCTTGGATATAACACTTTGACTGTTTTGCTAGGTTAGACCCATTTAACACGGACATGCTTGACGTCAAATCTGCTGAACAGCATGGGAAGTTCCGGCCCAAAATTAATTAAGGAAAAAATAAGCTACAGGCTTATACTGTAAGTGTGCTCATCAAATTAAGTTTTGGTTGTAAAGAGGAAAATAAAAAGGCTAATAAAAAAAAAAAGACTTATATAGCTCTTTTTCAATTCAGAGGACTTGACAAAAGTGCTTTATTCTACCAAATTAAAATCAGAGCAATAATTAATGCAAATAGGGGGTAATCTTTAAGATTTTAGCATTTTATGACTAGCGGGTGCTCCAATCTATTAAATAAAACATCAAGAAGTGTCCAAAATTCACACTGTACAAAACAGCCTTAAACATGTGTATATCCAAGCTGGTCTAAAAAATGTAAAATTAATCGTTACATTTATATTAAGATTGAAAAAGCTCAGTTTCCATTTCTGTTTTGATCAATGTTGTATTATTTAATTCAATGACACAAATATGATAAATGAAATATGAAATACAGATGGACAGAAAGAAAAGCTTGTTGCCAGAATCTGTAGATTTTTGCCAGACAGATCCTGATCTGTGATTGGTTGGTTAGGAAATATAAAGTCAGATCCTCTGGAAATCTTACAGTTAAGATGAGGGCCTTCTAACACCTCAGAGAATAAACACATAATGACAATGTGACAATGTTCCTGATGCTAGCCATGCTGAATGCTCTAATCTCACTATTTGTGTTTATCACTGATTTAAGTCCCTAAATGATATCTACAGTCCAAAACTCCCTAATGATGTGTTTGATTCTTAAACTACACAGAGCTGTGTAACGCCAACCTCTCTCTCTGACTTACAGGATAACATGGCCTCTGCTCTTAGTATGAAAAATTGTTCCAAAAGTACAAGAATGATGTTTTAGGATTCTATATAAAATCACAAATGAGAAGGTTATACATCTAAGGGAAAATAAGTTGTGCACCACTTTTGAAATGGATTTTAAAGAACAAAACAATTTTAGTCCATCCATCCATCCATCCATCCATCCATCCATCCATCCATCCATCCATCCATCCATCCATCCATCCATCCATCCATCCATCCATCCA